ACCCGCGTCACCATCATCAGTATCATCATCATCATCATCATCATCATCATCATCATCAGCAGCAGCAGCAGCATCATCATCGTCAGCAACAACATCATCGTCAGCATCAGCATCATCATCATCATCATCATCGTCATCATCATCATCGTCATCATAATCATCATCAGCATCATCATCATCATCATCATCAGCACCATCGTCATCAGCATCATCATAATCACCATCATCACCATAATCATCATAAGCATCACAATCGTTATCATCATCACCTTCATCATCGTCACCACCACCATCGTAAGTCTCATCATCCTCATGATCAGCATCAACATCATCAGCAGCAGTACCGTCAGCATCAGCCGTATCATCAACATCATCAGCAGCATCATCAGCATCAGCATCCTCATCATCATCGACATCAGCATTATAATCAGCATCGTCATCATCATCAGCAGCATCAGCATCAGCATCAGCATCAGCATCAGCATCAGCATCATCTGCATCATCATCATCATCATAATCATCATCAGCAGCAGCAGCATCAGCATCAGCATCAGCATCAATATCATCAGCATCATCATCATCATCATCATCATCATCATCATCAGAATCATCATAATCATCATCATCATCGTCGTCATCATCACGCGTTCCTCGCGACTGGTCCGTAGCTGAGCTAGCCCTAACTCGCAAGCAAACCGTCTGGTTTAGGCGTGGGACAGAGAGAGAGAGGGAACGAGACAGAGATGGGACGAGACAAGAGAAGGGCTAGAAAGGGATTGCCCTGCCCATCCACTCCCCGCTGCCACACCAGGGTTGGCCCAGCCGATAATCGATCCTTCCCCCTTCCCTCCCTCCCTCCCTCCCTTCCCTCTCTCAATCGAGGGGCGGCTGACAGGCCTCTCTGCCCCAAGCACCTCTCCAGCTCGTCCGACCACCGGCCGCGCTGCATCGACCGGGCCTCTTCGAGGCTGGCGGTGATCTGCACCTCGCGGGGAGCGGAGAGGGCGAGGAGGAGAAGGAAGACGGAGGACAGCGACCGGGGGGTATCCTGAGGTCAAACGTCGGCACAGTCGGGGCGCTGAAGAAGGAACCCTTTTCGTTGGGGAGGGGCTCGGTGGTCCTTGATTGTTTTACAATTTGCCTCAGGTGTTCCTGAGGCTTTCCATGGGAAGTCGAGGTTTGACTTATAGAAAAAAGGGGCCTCGTTCCATATTTAGGGTTCCTGAGGTCAGCGCCCCGGCTGCATTTGGACAAGAGCATGGGGCATCCTGAGGTCGAATTGTCGGTGACTGGACCCGAGAGATCGGGCTCGTGGAGTGCCGGCATTTGCTCTGGGCCATCGCGAGGCCTTGCAGACTGCACCGTGCAGGAACTCTGCGTGGCGGGGCTGGGCTGCCGCCCGACCCTGCCGGCGGCCCCCACTCTCGGACTGGGCCCCGCCCCTCTCGGGGCAACCGCCCTCTCGGGCGCGCAGGCGGGGGGGCGTCCCCAGGGGGCCACGGAACTGCAGTGAGCCCCATCGGGGGGGCCGAGAAGGCGGCGGTGCCCTGGGGCGGGGCGCCCCAGGGGGGGGATTTGGGGGAGGCAGAGACCTCCAGGCGTCACCTGAAAGTTCGGGGCGCTGCAGATGCCTCGGGCCTTGGGGGCATCAACAGAAACACTCGCGACGAAAAAACAAATCTTGCAGAGGGGTCGAGACTTACGCACCGAAAACAGAGAAAACAAGCATGCAGGGCCAGAGGCCTGGGAGGGTCTCTTGTGGGGATGAGGGGCAAGGGGGGGGTCAGAGGAGGGAGGTACAGACAAAATTGAGAGTAAGGATGTGCGAAAAGGATGCAAGCCCCTTGGATGCCCATGCCGAAGCTTTTTGAGCGGGGCTGCCCGTCGAAAGGTGTTAGGGATGGCGCGTGGAGGCAAGGATGCAAAGGCACCCGCGAAAAGGTTGCCGTCCTTACTGTCGACTACGGCAGTGTGCGTCAGGTTTGGGGGGGCCCTCGCGGAGGAGCTCTTGGATGCCTTCAGGGGCTTGGCGGGGTGGGTGGGGGCCTGGGGGGCCCAAAAATGTACCCCACCACCACCTCCCTCACCCCCTCCCTCTCCCGGGAAAGAGGAGAGAAGGAAGAAGGGTAGAGGAGAGAGGGGGAATCGACGCGGTGGTGGTGTATACTCTCTGGGCCCCCACAGGAGGAGGGCGGGAGGAGGCAGGAGGAGGAGCAGGCGGGAGGGAGGCAGCGCGGGAGGCCGGAGGCGGGGGGGCGGGAGGGGGGGGAGCGGGGCAGGGGGCCAGGGGCAACAGGAGGAGGCAGGAGGCGGCAGGGCGCCCGGGGTGTCTGGAGACAGGGCGACGGACAGGCACGCGCGGCGTGTCCAAGCACGGCCCACTGCTGGGCAGCGCGGCGGGCCTCTCGGGCCCGAGGCGGGAGGCAAGAGGAGGTGGGAGGTCGGAGGAGGTGAGGGGGAGGAGGTAAGGAGGAGGAAGTAGGAGGTAGGAGGTGAGAACAGGTGAGGATGAGGAGGAGATAAGAGGAGGAGGAGGAGGAGGAGGAGGAGGAGGAGGAGGAGGAAGAGGAGGAGGAGGAGGAGGTAGGAGGAGGAGCACGAGGAGAAGCAACGGGACCTGTTGCGGGGGCTCCGCTTGCGAGCAGTGGAGGCCCGCTCTGCTGGATTCCCTCGGCCGCGCTCAAGGTCATCTGGATTCGCTCTCGCCTCCGCAGGGAGATCCCGTCGCCTTGATCTCAGTAGCCCTCGCCCTCGCCTCCGCCGTACCTTGGGGGTCCAAAGCGGTGCGGCGTGGCAGCGTGGTGACCTCGACATCCCCACAAAAGCCTCACCGCACGGTCAGTCACCGCACGGTTTGGAGGCCTTGGAGGCCCCAGCCGCTCGGGAGACATCCTCGGAGAAAGACCCAGGTCCCAAAACCGTGCGGTCACCCAAAATCCCCACCGACTCACCCTACGGTGTGGTCGCCGTACCATTTGGGACTTCCGAGCAACCCTTGGTCGGGCATGACCACGGCCTCCTCCTTCGGCTCGTGGATGACGATGTTGTCGGGCAGCGGCATCTTGGTGCCCATCTTCCCCTCCGGGTCGTACGCGAGCATGATCTTCACCTTCACGCCGAGCATGCCCTGGCGCATGGACACGTGGCGCACGGCCTCGTCGATGTAATGCTTCTTCGGCTCGCCGGTGGAGATGAGGTAGCCGTCCTTGAACTTCATGGCCTTCGCGCGCTGCGCGCGCAGCTTGCCGCTGATGATCACCTCGCAGCCCTTGGCGCCGTTCTCCATGATGAAGCGGACCACACCGTAGCAGGCGCGGCGGACCGCCAGCCCGCCCAGGAGCTTGTAGCGCAGCGACTCCGCCTGGGCCATCGCGCACGCGGCGCGGTTCTCGACGCGCTCCGCGAAGAGCTCGACGCTGTTCTCGGGGAAGCCGTAGCGCTTCTGCACCACGGCGGTCAGCTCGCGGATGCGGCGGCCCTTCTCGCCCAGCACCTCGCGGGTGCGCGTGGCGCGGATGATGATCTCGGTGCGGATGGGCGTGACGCGCACCTCGACGCCAGCGTAGCCGTCCTCGGCCAGCGTGCGCATCAAGAACTCGTTGAGCTCCGCGTAGAACACCCCGTCGGCGACGAACTTCCGCTTCTTGGACACCTGCGCCTGGTTCGCCATGTGTCCGTGGGTGTGGTGGCCAAGAGGGGGGCGCGGCAGTCAGGCAGGTGGGCGGTGCCAGGCGGTACTGTAACCCTGAGCCAACATGACAATGGACGGTGCAGGAAAAGAGGGTCAGAAAGGAGCGGCGATCCCCCGACTTGGGAGGAGCACGGCTGGGCGTCACAGGAGTCCACATGCTCCCCGCAACCTGTCCTGCCCAGCCAGATGAAGCAGCAGCAGCAGCAGCAGGAGGGACAAGGTTAAGATGAGCAGGGGTAGCTCGTGGCTAACGGGGTAGGAAGACGAGGACCATAAGCAGGACACTGAAGAAGGAGGAGTAGGAATGGCAGGAGCAGAAGACTAGCACGACTCGAATTAACCAGGTCGGCCTAGTCAATAGGGCTCGCTCATGTCAACTTCCCTCATTACACATGAAGGCTCAATGGATACACAACTTCATATCGGGAATGGACTGCGTTCCCACCAAGCGAACGGAACGCGCTCGCGCGCTGGCCCGCTTCGGACGACCTGGCGACGGGGGAGAACGCGGCCCACGCACGGGGGGGAGCGAAGCTTCAGAAAATCTGCGCGCGGCGCTGCGGAGTTCTGGTAAGGCTGGCGCTTAGCTGCCCCGACACGCAACACGCATCACGTAGCGTAGTGGTACGGAGCTAAACACGTAGACTGAAAACGCAGGTCTGACGCGATGCGTTCGCCGATACGTTGAGCCAACACGCAACGTATTGACACGGACGTCTTGAGCACGGTACGTGTTGCGTATCAAGACGGGACGGGCGCATCGAGGTAACTGAGGGTTGGCGAAGTCAAAACATGCGCGCGCCGACGCACCACTGCCACTTGATCAAAAGGTATCTGCGCGGCCTCGCGCGCGGCCCCGCTGCCGCCTTCCCCGCAAGATCGGTGAGCGAACAGTATGCGCTGATAATACATGTCTGCTCAAAAGTGAGACCATCTCACGCTAAGAAAATCGACTTCACTCCAAGCGTGCTCGTGAACCGTAGTCCAGGTCGAGATCTGCGAACATTATACCGAGGAAGGAAGCTCCAAGAAAACGCCAAGGGCCCAGTCCAGATTCTTGGTCTTCTTGAACGAATTCTGGAGTCCATGAACGTTGAAGCTTCCTCTTAAGATTTCTGGTGGGTGTAGGCGGGAACATCACTTTCGCGCGAAGTCTGAACGGGGCCAGAGCGAGAGCGACACTGCGCCCGTTCGCGCGTGGCCCCGCTCCCAACGACTGGGCGAATGGTCACTACGCGCCGCGCTCAAGCAGGAGCGCAACGTTCCGACGAAATCTGCGCCGTGTCTGGGCGACAGCTAGCGTTCGCCCGCTCGCGCCCGTCCCCGCTGCCGGCGGAGTGGCGAGCAAAAAATGCGCGCCGCGCTCGAGCGGGAGCTCAACTCTCAAGAGACATGAGCGCAGCGCCGAAGCGACAGCGACATTTCGCCCCGAGGGAGGAGGATGAGGAGGGAGGAAGGAGGGAGGGCGAGGGAAAAGAAAGGCGTAGGAGGGAGGAGGAGGGAGGAGGGAGGAGGGAGGAGAAAGGAGGAGGAGGAGGAGGAGGAGGAGGGAGCAGGAAGGAGAAGGAGGGGGGAGCCGACCGAGAGATCTGGAGATCGGCGGCTGCAGAAACTCCAGTAGTCGGAAGTTGACTCCCAGACCCGCACCTCCATTTGGCACTGGGAGCCCTCGAGCCGAAAAACGCGAAACGGCTACGCAAGGAGGACGAGGAGGGGGAAAAATGGCGCAGGCCGATGCGCCTCCAGCATCCGCCAGGGCGAGAGCTGGAGGTCCAGTTCTACGAGGAGGAGGGCGATGATGAGGAGGAGGGGGAGCAGGAGGAGGCGGAGAAGGAGAACGGCAACATAGGAGGAGGCGGGAAGGGAAGAAGGAGCTCTTGCCGGGCGTGGGGCGCGGGCGCTGCCGCCGGGCGCTGGGGGGGGCCCCGCTCAGCCAGATCCCGTCGCCTGCTCTCAGTAGCCCTCGCCCTCGCCTCCGCCGTACCCCTGGTCGGGCATGACCACGGCCTCCTCCTTCGGCTCGTGGATGACGATGTTGTCGGGCAGCGGCATCTTGGTGCCCATCTTCCCCTCCGGGTCGTACGCGAGCATGATCTTCACCTTCACGCCGAGCATGCCCTGGCGCATGGACACGTGGCGCACGGCCTCGTCGATGTAGTGCTTCTTCGGCTCGCCGGTGGAGATGAGGTAGCCGTCCTTGAACTTCATGGCCTTCGCGCGCTGCGCGCGCAGCTTGCCGCTGATGATCACCTCGCAGCCCTTGGCGCCGTTCTCCATGATGAAGCGGACCACGCCGTAGCAGGCGCGGCGGACCGCCAGCCCGCCCAGGAGCTTGTAGCGCAGCGACTCCGCCTGGGCCATCGCGCACGCGGCGCGGTTCTCCACGCGCTCCGCGAAGAGCTCGACGCTGTTCTCGGGGAAGCCGTAGCGCTTCTGCACCACGGCGGTCAGCTCGCGGATGCGGCGGCCCTTCTCGCCCAGCACCTCGCGGGTGCGCGTGGCGCGGATGATGATCTCGGTGCGGATGGGCGTGACGCGCACCTCGACGCCAGCGTAGCCGTCCTCGGCCAGCGTGCGCATCAGGAACTCGTTGAGCTCCGCGTAGAACACCCCGTCGGCGACGAACTTCCGCTTCTTGGACACCTGCGCCTGGTTCGCCATGTGTCCGAGGGTGTGGTGGCCAAGAGGGGGGCGCGGCAGTCAGGCAGGTGGGCGGTGCCAGGCGGTACTGTAACCCTGAGCCAACATGACAATGGACGGTGCAGGAAAAGAGGGTCAGAGAGGAGCGGCGATCCCCCGACTTGTGAGGAGCACGGCTGGGCGTCACAGGAGTCCACATGCTCCCCGCAACCTGTCCTGCCCAGCCAGATGAAGCAGCAGCAGCAGCAGCAGGAGGGACAAGGTTAAGATGAGCAGGGGTAGCTCGTGGCTAACGGGGTAGGAAGACGAGGACCATAAGCAGGACACTGAAGAAGGAGGAGTAGGAATGGCAGGAGCAGAAGACTAGCACGAATCGAATTAACCAGGTCGGCCTAGTCAGTAGGGCTCGCTCATGTCAACTTCCCTCATTACACATGAAGGCTCAATGGATACACAACTTCATACCGGGAATGGACTGCGTTCCCACCCAGCGAACGGAACGCGCTCGCGCGCTGGCCCGCTTCGGACGACCTGGCGACGGGGGAGAACGCGGCCCGCGCACGGGGGGGAGCGAAGCTTCAGAAAATCTGCGCGCGGCGCAAACTGAAAACGCAGGTCTGACGCGATGCGTTCGCCGATACGTTGAGCCGACACGCAACGTATTGACACGGACGTCTTGAGCACGGTACGTGTTGCGTATCAAGACGGGCGCATCGAGGTAACTAAGGGTTGGCGAAGTCAAAACATGCGCGCGCCGACGCACCACTGCCACTTGATCAAAAGGTATCTGCGCGGCGCCTGGGCGGGAAGGAAAGAGTTGGCCGCATTGCGCGCGGCCCCGCTGCCGCCTTCCCCGCAAGATCGGTGAGCGAACAGTATGCGCTGATGATACATGTCTGCTCAAAAGTGAGACCATCTCACGCTAAGAAAATCGACTTCACTCCAAGCGTGCTCGTGAACCGTAGTCCAGGTCGAGATCTGCGAACATTATACCGAGGAAGGAAGCTCGAAGAAAACGCCAAGGGCCCAGTCCAGATTCTTGGTCTTCTTGAACGAATTCTGGAGTCCATGAACGTTGAAGCTTCCTCTTAAGATTTCTGGTGGGTGTAGGCGGGAACATCACTTTCGCGCGAAGTCTGAACGGGGCCAGAGCGAGAGCGACACTGCGCCCGTTCGCGCGTGGCCCCGCTCCCAACGACTGGGCGAATAGTCACTACGCGCCGCGCCCAAGCAGGAGCGCAACGTTCCGACGAAATCTGCGCCGTGTCTGGGCGACAGCTAGCGTTCGCCCGCTCGCGCCCGTCCCCGCTGCCGGCGGAGTGGCGAGCAAAAAATGCGCGCCGCGCTCGAGCGGGAGCTCAACTCTCAAGAGACATGAGCGCAGCGCCGAAGCGACAGCGACATTTCGCCCCGAGGGAGGAGGATGAGGAGGGAGGAAGGAGGGAGGGCGAGGGAAAAGAAAGGCGTAGGAGGGAGGAGGAGGGAGGGAGGAGGAGGGAGGAGAAAGGAGGAGGAGGAGGAGGAGGAGGAGGAGGGAGCAGGAAGGAGGAGGAGGGGGGAGCCGACCGAGAGATCTGGAGATCGGCGGCTGCAGAAACTCCAGTAGTCGGAAGTTGACTCCTAGACCCGCACCTCCATTTGGCACTGGGAGCACTCGAGCCGAAAAACGCGAAACGGCTACGCAAGGAGGACGAGGAGGGGGAGAAATGGCGCAGGCCGATGCGCCTCCAGCATCCGCCAGGGCGAGAGCTGGAGGTCCAGTTCTACGAGGAGGAGGGCGATGATGAGGAGGAGGGGGAGCAGGAGGAGGCGGAGAAGGAGAACGGCAACATAGGAGGAGGCGGGAAGGGAAGAAGGAGCTCTTGCCGGGCGTGGGGCGCGGGCGCTGCCGCCGGGCGCTGGGGGGGGCCCCGCTCAGCCAGATCCCGTCGCCTGCTCTCAGTAGCCCTCGCCCTCGCCTCCGCCGTACCCCTGGTCGGGCATGACCACGGCCTCCTCCTTCGGCTCGTGGATGACGATGTTGTCGGGCAGCGGCATCTTGGTGCCCATCTTCCCCTCCGGGTCGTACGCGAGCATGATCTTCACCTTCACGCCGAGCATGCCCTGGCGCATGGACACGTGGCGCACGGCCTCGTCGATGTAGTGCTTCTTCGGCTCGCCGGTGGAGATGAGGTAGCCATCCTTGAACTTCATGGCCTTCGCGCGCTGCGCGCGCAGCTTGCCGCTGATGATCACCTCGCAGCCCTTGGCGCCGTTCTCCATGATGAAGCGGACCACGCCGTAGCAGGCGCGGCGGACCGCCAGCCCGCCCAGGAGCTTGTAGCGCAGCGACTCCGCCTGGGCCATCGCGCACGCGGCGCGGTTCTCGACGCGCTCCGCGAAGAGCTCGACGCTGTTCTCGGGGAAGCCGTAGCGCTTCTGCACCACGGCGGTCAGCTCGCGGATGCGGCGGCCCTTCTCGCCCAGCACCTCGCGGGTGCGCGTGGCGCGGATGATGATCTCGGTGCGGATGGGCGTGACGCGCACCTCGACGCCGGCGTAGCCGTCCTCGGCCAGCGTGCGCATCAGGAACTCGTTGAGCTCCGCGTAGAACACCCCGTCGGCGACGAACTTCCGCTTCTTGGACACCTGCGCCTGGTTCGCCATGTGTCCGAGGGTGTGGTGGCCGAGAGGGGGGGCGCGGCAGACAGGCAGGTGGGCGGTGCCAGGCGGTACTGTAACCCTGAGTCAGCGAGAAGGAGAACGGCAGCGAGAACGAGACGAAGGAGACGTGCAAGGGCGGGGCGGCAGGAACATGCCCATGCCAATTTCAGCGAAAGCCGCAGCGGTAGGAGGGGCGGCAGCAGGAGGGTAGGAATCCGCCAACCCTGTCGGCGTGTGTGAGGGGCTTGTCCGTTCAAGTCGTCATCTCCGTCATTCGTTGGTCGTCGTCTCTGTCGTCCCCTTTCCCTGCCTCCCTCCTTTCCCTGGGCTCGTCGAAGCTCCCCACTTTCCCAGGGACCTCCTCAGCGCGCCAGCCAAAGAGAAAATAAGCAACGTAGTAATTGAGTCGAAGGGAAGCCCCTTCCCTTCGATCCCTCCCCCGCCGGGGGGGGGAGGGTGGGGGGGGTCCCGGGGGTGGAGCGGGGGCCAGACGCCCGGGGGGGGGGTCAGATACGACGCCTGGGAGTCCCGGAGCCCAAAAAAGCCCAAAGACGGGCCAAGAGTGCCCCAAGAGGCCCCAAAGACAGTCCAAGAGAACCCCGAATCGCCGAACGATCTGTCCAAGACGCAATGACGGCCTCCAGACGGCCCAAGAGGCCTGCAAGGCGCCTCTACGAGGCCTCCAGGAGCTTTCTCACGAGAGCCCCAAGAGGCAAAATCCATTGATTTCCCATACGCTTTTGAAAATGTTTGGCGTTCTTGCCTCTTCCGCTTCCCGACGCGCCAAGACGGCACAAGAGGCCCCCAAGATCGCCCCGAGACGGCCCAAGAGGCCCCCAAGAGGGCCCCCTAACGGCCGAAGAGGGTCCCAAGACGCCTCCAAGACGGCCCAAGAGGCCCCCAAGACGGCTCCAGGAGAGTACCCAGACGGGGGACCCAAACGGACATTTCGAGCTTTCAGCCCCAAGAGGCCCACAAGAGGCCCCGAAGAAGCCCCAAGAGGCCCCAAGAGGCTCCCAAGGGGCCCCCAAACTGACCCAAGACAGCCGAGGAGAGCCCCAAATTGTCCAGGAGGCCTCCAAGAGTGCCTCGAGACGGCGCAAGAGGAGCCCTGGACGGCCCAAGACGGCCTCAGGAGAGCCACAGGCTGTCCCAAGAAAACATCTGGCCTCCTCCCCTTCCTCCTCCTCCTCCTCCTCCTCCTCCTCCTCCTCCTCCTCCTCCTCCTCCTCCTCCTCCTCCTCCTCCTCCTCCTCCTCCTCCTCCTCCTCCTCCTCCTCCTCCTCCTCCTCCTCCTCCTCCTCCTCCTCCTCCTCCTCCTCCTCCTCCTCCTCCTCCTCCTCCTCCTCCTCTCCTCCTCCTCCTCCTCCTCCTCCTCCTCCTCCTCCTCCTCCTCCTCCTCCTCCTCCTCCTCCTCCTCCTCCTCCTCCTCCTCCTCCTCCTCCTCCCTCCTCCTCCTCCTCCTCCTCCTCCTCCTCCTCCTCCTCCTCCTCCTCCTCCTCCTCCTCCTCCTCCTCCTCCTCCTCCTCCTCCTCCTCCTCCTCCTCCTCCTCCCCTCCTGCTCCCCCTCCTCCTGCTCTCCTCTGCCTCCTTCTCCTCGCTCTTGCTTCTCCTCCACATCCTTCTCCCCCCTCCTCCTCTCTCATCCACCTCCTCCACCCTGCCCCCCCCCCCCCTCGTTTTCATCTTCGTCGCTCTCAGGGTCGGCGGCAACAGCCGTAAGGCCTTCGCAATATGACCATGTCAATTTCAGCAAAAGCCGCAGCGGAAGGAGGGGCGGCAGCAGCAGGGTGGGGCGGACAGAGGCGGGAAGAAGGAGAGGAAGGAGGGGCATTCCAGGGCTCGCTCCGTCCTCACTCCTGTCTCTTCCCCCTCCATGTGCGGTTCACACGGCTCCTGCCAGAACCGATACTGTGCCAGCACCAACTGTTGCCCACACAGGGCCACACACCTAGGCGCCATCGCGCCAGATTCCTCTCCAGGGGCACACTACTGGCCCCAATCGGAACGGAGAGCAGAGGTGAGAGTTTTTTTGAATAATCAAAGCACACATGGCGATCAAGAAACACCATGCTTCTCCTCAGTTCCAGTCCTCCTTTCAACAGTCCCCTCAATGTGTCGCGACCTCTTACAGTACTCAGAACGACCGCGTGGCAGCTCCCCTCCTCCCCCTCACTTTGTGCTCCGCGTTTGCATACAGACCGTTTCCCTCCTCCCATACCAAGTCAGAACTATGCGAACCAGTCTCAGGCCCACTAGTTCTGCCTCAATATAATAAGGCCAACGCCAGGTTGAACTCTTTATGCGCTGTCTGCCCCCCACACATTGGCAAAGGGCCCGCCTGGCAGGGGCACACGTGGCCCCAGGAAATTCAGCGAGCAAGGGGGGCGCCATGCCTCTACACCTAAGAGAGGGGGCCATGCATCGACGGGCCAGGCGCACGACATGCCCACGCTCGACAAGATTGCAGTTTGGGCGGTGGGCGTGGGCATGATGCCAGGCCCCCCTGGGGACGCGCCAGAAGATCAGGGCCCAAGCCGGCAAGCAGCAGACCAAGAAAGGTGGGGACTCTGGCGGGCCAGCCAAAGATAATGCCAAGGGTCCACTCGCCATCGCTCGGACGTCTATTCCCCGTGCATTGTTCGATTTCGTGCGTGCTTTTGTGGCTCCATGATCCAGGATGCTCCTCGATGGCCCTCGCCGATGGAGAAATGCACACGCCCGAGCGATGCCAAGGGTCCATCGCTGAGAACCTCGCAGCGCACAGAGGAGGGGGCCACGGGCACCGCTGGAGGGGACGGCAGCAGGCAGGCACCCGGCCCTTCCAAGACGAAGCATTCGCAGCCCGACGATCACTCAGGCATGCAATCAACTTTGGGCAGTTCGGAGCTGACGCGCAATTCACCTTAAGGCAATAGCAAGACTGGCACGTCGGAGGTGTTTCGTGCCCTCCCCACCACCCTCGCGCCGGACGAGACGCACGTGCATCCAGCTTGGAGACTCCCCCCATCCAGCTTGGACGCTTCCCCTCGGAACTTTAGAGTACGCAAGGGCATCGCAAGGCTTTGGGCCCATGCAAGAGTGCCGTTTTTCTTCAGCTGAATTCTCCACTATCCTTGAGAACTCGCAACAAAGAATCAGCGACCTTCGGCGGGGGATTGCGCTGGTCAACTTTCAGACTGCGAACGCTCGGGACCCCATCACCAAAATCGAAGAACTGCAGCAGATTGCAGCTTCGCTTCAGAAAAATAAGGCTGATTTACCCTTGGTTTTTCTGCGGGGAACTGCTCTCTCTACTAAACTCGCTGGCCGAAGCGACTCGGATACGAGGCGTGAGAGGCGGGTGGCACGGCACGCATCTCGAAAACCACACCTTGGCCAAAGGGACAAGCGGAAGAAGGGAGGGAGAGCCAGACGGCTCAAAGGGAGGAGAGCCAGAATCACTTCGGAGCAACGTCAATGATGATCGATGAGACCGACACCCCAAACCCCGTTAAGCCATTTATGCGCACGCACCCCAATGACTTACCCTTGGTTTTTTCTGCGGGGAACTGTTCTCTCTACTAAGCTCGCTGGTCGAAGCGACTCGGATCCGAGGCAAGAGAGGCGGGTGACACGGCACGCCCCTCGAAAACCACACCCAAGTCAGGTTCCCAAAACAGAATCGGTTCTCACACCGTGAGGCACCGCGACCGTAGGGCGCTTAAAGCAATGAAAACAACGGCACGATGGAAACACAAGGGGATCATCGCCGATGGGCGCGGGCGGGAAACGTGTTTCCCGTGGCCGTCTCGGGCCATAACACCTGGGCATCGCAGGCCCTGGCGGTTGAAATCGGAAGGCGAAACGTTACCAACAAAAGTCGCGACAGAAAACCGAGTGACTCCTTGATATCTACACATGTGGGACTGGAGAGCGGAGAGCAAGTGAGCGGGAAGTCGGGCAGCAATCTGTTCACTTACTGACTGGGAACAACGAATTTCCCATGGGAGCCCGATTCGCGCTGCCTCTGACACAAGCCTTATCAGCCCTCTGGACAGTGACGAGTCATTCACGGATACGAACGCTACCCTTTCTCATGTCTGCACGCAGTCGAAAGGACAAGGCACTCGGGACATCAATAGCCTTCACATATCTGACCAGAAGCCCCGAGGCACACACATAAGAAGGCGCTGCAAACCGATCTCCCACGACCAGAACGAACAGCCCCCTCTCGCCTACCGGCAATGCAAAGCGGGCTTTGGCAGCACTCGGCTGCGCACAACAATCTCCACGAATTTCTCCTCGCACAGCCCGGCGTGCTGGGGCAACCACATCGGGTGGGCCATCCAGGTCGAGCTGAGCCGAGCGCCCTTCTCGTACCTGACCACCGAACGGTCCGACTTCCAGCCGCCCCGCGTTCTGACCTCCGCGAGCATTCGGCGTCGCGTGGCCATGTCCGAGCTGGCCCCACTGTGCCTGGCCAGAGAAATACACCACCAGGTTCAACCCCAGGTCGCGAGCGGCTCTCTGCACAGCAGCCGCCAGCTGTGGGTAACTCAAAGACCCGCTCGCCAGGCGGGCGAGATCGCAGAGCGCGCAACACGGGGGTCAGGCTGGCCCACCAGTCGTGATCGTGCTCGGTCGTAACGTCGTACTCCTTCGCCTTGGACGGCACGCCCTCGATCTCTGGATTCAGCTGCAGCGCCCAATGGGTGGCCACGCGACTCGAAGGGAAAAGGAACTCTGGCTTCAGCGCCATCAACTGGATCGGGCGTGCATGTGTGCTCCACATCAGCCAGATGAAAAGCGCCATGTCGTACCTTCGCACACTGCACGGCCCGTTTTCGATGGCACACCAGATCGGCCACGCCTCGGGGAGACGGGGAGTGGATGGGCTCAGGTTCCGCCATCCCCCCAGATCCCTCCAGCTGCGCTGCAGCGCGCGAGGGCCCTGCTTCCCCGCCGTCGGCCGAGCGTGAACTACCCCAGCCAGCAACTTCATGCCGCGAGCAGCGGTCACTCCCCTTCTGATCTGGTGGTCGATGTACTGCACCAATCTGCTGTCCAGCTCCTCGATCGGGATGTCGGTTACCCGCCTCGCGCCGCTGTACTGGTGCACCTCCTGGGCGTACTGGGCCTCGGTCCGAGACCTGACTGCAGCGTGCTCGCCCAGCGTAAGAAGATTCAGCTCGGGCAACGCCTCGGCTACCAGCAGCTTCTCCAAGGCGCCTCGATTGGCACGCGGGAGCGCCCGATGCCTCGAAGCAGGGGTGGTCTCCTCCTCCTCCTCCTCCTCCTCGCCGTTCGAGCTCGAAGCGTCCTGGGAGCGTGGATCCGCCCTGATCCGCTCCCCCAGCTGCTGCAGGATTAGCCCCACCTCGTCGTTCGAGAGGCCTGGCTGGCAAGCGCTGCGGGCTAGCGACGCGACTCCGAGCTCGCCTTCGGCCTTCAGGATTCGGAAGTGCGCTGCAGTGATGCGGGTGCCGCCTCTGAGGACTCCAGTCGGCGCTTCCTGCGCGGGGCCGCAGCCGATTGATCTGCGAGCCGCGACGAGGCTAAGACCGGCACTCTGGCGTTCGATGTAAAAGGCCCGGATGCATGAAATCTGGCTTGAGCCAAAATGTCTACGGACCTCGGACGAGCCCCACCGAGTCCCAGGGCCTTGCTTTTGTCACGGGTACCCAGGGTGGGATCAGAGCCAAGCGCGCCGAGACAATGCCCCAGACAATCAGTGGGATTCGCAAGCCTAGATTCAGCCTTTGAGTCCGAACAGAACCTCCCGCCGAGAGCCCGGGGAAGATCGGACAAGGATTCAAAAACTTGCCGAGGGTCGCCATGCGACCTTTTAAGACCACAGGGTTCCACCGCTTCCCCACGGGTCTGGACAACGTCGCGGGAGGCGCAATCGCGGGGGGGGGGGCGGCCGACATCGCCCTCTTTAGGCGCTACCGAGTTCGACTGTAAATCGAACAAGCGCGAGGGGGCATCGCCAGGATTTTCTCTCCGAGGGGATCCATCGCACAGAGAGATGCACGTTGCGACTGAGACACCACGCCGCCATCCTGCGCAAGACGACCAGGTTTTTAAAGCTCCGACATCGCCACCTGCCCACGGCCAGTGCGAGGCCTAAATTATCTGCAAACAGAAGCTGGCGAACGTTGCGGCCAAACCTGGTGCGAGTCACCCTCTCCGGCCCGCGCAGCAGGCCACGGGCCTCCAGGACCGCGACGTCCTCGGGCCATGTAAACCTCCAGCCGCCGACCACGCCCAAGTCGGCAGACTCGGTCCTGTAGCTCGGCACCTCCGCAAACTGCGGGTCGGGCTGGAGATCCGAACGACCCAGGCAGGCATCCACCAGCAGCGGCTCCTCGCGAGGAAGCTCAGCGCCCAGCGCGTCGGCACGGGCACCCACGTGCCCCTCCGCCAGGTAGCGGTCGCGCTCACGGCAGCGGCCCACCGCAGCGACCTCCGCAGGGTCGAACCGGCGCGAGCAGATGCCGTAGCCCGTCTCCGAGGCGTCCGTCGCCACGACCAGAGGGTCCCAGTCGGACCCCCAGCGTTGCGAACACACTCCAAGTCTCACGCCCCGCGCGGCCGCAAAAAGTGGCGCGGCCCAAAACTATCTCCAGCTGCCGTCCAGAAACGCAGCGGCGATCCGCCAAAGCCAGCAGGGCACCTCGGGCGCGCCAGAAGCGCTTGGCGGTCAACCGCGCATGGCGGCGGCGCCCGTCCAGAAGCACTCCCAGCGCCTCAACGCCCGAGTCCGAGGTGGCGATATCATGCACGGCGAGGCCCCTCGCCTCGAAGGCCGCGCAGACGTCCTCCAGCTTCGACGCCACTATGCTGCCGTCCGAGCCGAAGACCCCGATGTTGTCGACGTAGATGTAGCGCCTGGTGTCCGAAGCTGCGTCTCCTCGCATCGAGAGGACCAAAGGCTGGCCTCGGTCGCATAGTAGCTCCGCGCGGCTAAGCACCAGGCTGGCAACCTCCTCGTCTATGTCCTGGGCCATGAACAAGCCCCACGAGAAGCCCATCGGCAGACAACGAGGCATAGGGGTTACCATATCGTCGGGCCCAACAGGGCCATGCAGAGTCTCCGTCAGCCCGACGTCGGCAGCGCGAACGGAAGGCAAACCTAACCAGCGAGACCGCCAGGTCGGGGTGCCAACCCGATGGAAAGCATCTTGGACGTCAGCAGTGCCGCAAAAAATGTAAAATAATAGTCCTGGCCATCAAGTAGCTCGACTTCAATCCGACCGAGACCTTCGGCTGACGCGTGGCGGCGCAAATTGCCCGCTGGTCCGCCTCGCGTCGAGAATCAGCCGAAGCCGCCCGTTCTTCTTGCAGGCGAAAAAGAGACCAGTGCGCTCATGGGCCCACCCACCGAATACCAGCATGCCCCTGGCCTTCAGGTCACGGACGAAGCGGGCGTAGAGCGCGGGGCTGCTGGCGAGCTGGGGGGGCCCACGTAGCATCGCCCAGCACCGTCATCAAAACTGCTGCTGAAATCTGGAACCAGTTTGTGCTCTCCTGCGCCCTCCAGGAAACAACCGCCACGGTCCCCGACTAAGTCCGAGATGTCTGGGACGCTGGCCCTCATTCTCGGGCAAGGAGGCCCGACCACGCCGGCACGGCGCGAGCATAGTCGAAGAAGCGCCCATCCTGTAGCCAGACGCCTTCTCGCAGAGCAACTCCCGAAGGGCCACGTCTGGCAGCTTCTAAAACTCCCGAGCACCCTCGCGCACCTGCAGCTCCGCGGGCGCCTCCAGTTACGCCAGGCTCTCGCCCAGCTGCGGGGCGGCTTCCCGACGCGGGAGGTCACGACCGCAACCGGCAGGGCCTGGCCGACCTCGGACAGCACCAGGGCGGCTGGGGTCGGTCTTGGCAAGCCAATTAAGTGCATTAGACGACGCCTCCACCAGCTGGCGCACGTGGCCTCGGGCCCGAAATCGCCCACGACGACGGCCACCAGCGGCGGGGACAGCCTCGCGCCAGGGAAGGGCCAGCGGGAACTGCTCAAAAAGGCGAGGGCGACCAGGCGCCCGAAAATCCCCCACCTTCAGCGGGCTGTGGCGCGGAGGGCCTGTCCACAGCCCGTCATCCTGTTCAGCCACCCTTCGGGGCTGCAGAGCCTCTGCCGCCCCGCCCGCCCCGACCTGCATCAGCGCCGCCCCCGCGGCCGCGGCCGCTGTCGGCAGCGCCCTGGCCGCCTCCAGCATCGACGCCATCTGCTGCAGGCCGCAGCCGGCGCGCCGGGGGCGATCGCGTGGCCGTAGCTCGCCTCGCCCTCGCACGCGGCAGCCACGCGCCGAGAGGGCGCTCCCCCGCCCGCCGAGTAGGCGTCGATCACCCCGAGCACCCCCCCGACCATCTCCTCGATGCCCGCGGAGGCCCCGAGGTTGAGCTGGTCGTGCTCCCCGAACAGTTTGAAGCTCTCAGTGGGCGCGGTCATCTCGTGGCAGACGCGGTCCGTCTGCGCAATGTTGCTGGCGCGAGCGAACCCCTGCCACCAGCGACGCGGATCGCCCCCGCAGCGCTCGGCGTGCCGAACGAGGTGCGGCGTGCAAGACGGGCCCTGGACCTCCACGACCGAGATCAGCTCCTCCCTGCTTTCCTGCACCGCCTTCTGACCTCGTCGTAGTCGACCCACAAGGTACGGACGCCATCGTCCGAGCAAGGAGGAAGCCCATCAAGGCGACGAGCAACCACATCTGAAGGGCCCACAGCATCACGCGACACCGCGTAGCGCGACTTCAGATTCTCGACGAACTCCACGCAGTCATGGTTCGCCACCGCCTGCACCCGCAAGGAGCTCCCGCGCCTGAAGACCAGGCCGCCCGTTGATGTGATGACGACATCGCCAGCGCGAGGGGCAACCTCCATGCCCAGCGCCTCGTGCCCATCAGCGTTCTCGGTCACCAGCCACACCAGGCCATCGCGAGGCGCGGGGCGCTCAGGCAGGACGGCCAGGTAGCAAAAAGAGCCCGAACCGAACTGGTAACCGTGAACCGGCGGCTCCTGCAACCGAACCGCCCGAACCGCAGCCCGAACCGGACCGGCTGAAACCGGACCGGGCGGTTCGAACCGAACCGGCCGGTCGAAACCGGCCCGAACGGCAAGCCCGAACCGGGTGGAACCGAACAGGGCCCCGGGACTCCCCACCGGCCCGGGGGGTGCCGGCACCCCAACCCCCGGTGCCGGCACCCCCCCCCACCCCACCCCCCCGTGCCGGCAACCCCCGCCGGTGCCGGGCACCCCACCCCCCCCCGGTGCGGCACCCCACCCCCGGCTCCCCCCCCCCCCCCCGTGCCGGCAAACCCCCCCCCCCGGTGCCGGCAGCCCCCCCCCGGCGCCGGCACCCCCCCCCCCCCGGTGTCGGCAACCCCCCCCCCCGGTGCCGGCACCCCCCCCCCACCCCCCCCCCGGTGCCGGCACCCCCCCCCCGTGCCGGCAACCCCCCCGGTGCCCGGCACCCCCCCCCCGGTGCCGGCACCTCCCCCCCCCGTGCCGGCACCCCCCCCCCCGGTGCCGGCACCCCCCTCGGGGGTGCAGCAGGGCGCGGGGGAGGGGAGGCGAGGACCCCCTCCTCCCTCCTCCTCCTCCTCCTCCTCCTCCTCCTCCTCCTCCTCCTCCTCCCTCCTCCTCCAGGCGGCAATTGCAGCTCCAGGGCGGCAAAGCAGCTCCAGGCGGCCGAACCCCGCCCTCTCCGGGCCCCCGGAGGCCCGCGTTTTCCGGCCCCGGGGCCGCGGAGACGAGGGGAAGAGCGGCATGAGGGAAGGGGCCGAGAGGTCCGGGGGCTCCCGACGACGACGACGACGGCGGCGACGACGACGACGACGACGGCGGCGACGACGACGACGACGACGACGACGACGACGACGACGACGACGACGACGACGACGGCGACGACGACGACGACGACGGCGACGACGACTGCAGCGAGGCACCTCGCCGGGCGCGGAGCCGATGGGCGCGCGAGCCTCCTCGCTCCGCGCTCCTGGCACCTCGCTCCTCGCCCACCTCCTAAACCTCCTCCTCCTCCTCCTCCTCCTCCTCCTCCTCACTCCTCCTCCTCCTTCTCCTCCTCCGGCCCAAAACCGGCCCCCCCAAAACCGGACCGTCCCGCGACCGCCGAACCGAACCGGCATAACCGACCCGGACTGGCAAAACCGGACCGTCCAAAACCGGACCGGCGCCGAAATCGAACCGCTGCAACCGAACCGGTCCGCCGCCGAACCGGCCCGAACCGGCCCGAGCCGGACACTTCCTGAGGTAGGGCGCCACGGCCCCAGGCGGGGCGGCCTCGCCATCGGCCTCGGCCGCCTCCAGGTCGACGGGCAGCGGAGCCTCGGGGGTCGCGGTGCCTCCAGCCAGAGCAGGCGCCACGGCAGCAACTGCCTCGCCTCCTGCAGAGCGGCCGGGGCGACGTCGGCGGTCGACCCCGCCAACCGGCTCCATGGCGCCGTCCGCGTTGACGAAGTACGGCAGATCAGGAGGCTCCCGTCCCGCAGATCGCACCCGTGCCACAGCCAGCTGGACTTCGTGGCGGACACGGTCGTCGCTGGGATAGGCGTCGCCTGCGAACCTGTCCAACCTGCCCCGAAGCGTTCGGGGACAGGAGCCAGCCAGATCGAGCATCACCAAGCGCTCGCCCTCGCCAGCATCCATGGAGATGTCTTCCTCGTAGAAGTCCCCATCTGGCGTCACGATCCACCACTTGGTAACTTCCCCAGCGGCGTCCCGAAGCCCAGGGCCCATCAGACCCTCTCGTGCCAAAGGTCCTCGCCAGGGTATCTGATTGCCACGAGCCTCCCAGGGAGCAAGCTACTCGACAACTCCCGCACCAAAAGAGACCTTCCTGTGTCCCCTAGGCGTTCCCGACGGGCGGGTACCAGCGCCATGACGACGAGCGCACACCCACTGCCACCCGCAATAGATCACAAGAATCACAGGAATACTGGCCTGACCCGCGTAGATGGCGCCAGTCGTCAGCAACACCACGTGAAAGTCGTGATCGGCCGTGATGCAGGTCAGCTCGCACACGCAGGAGACCGCGAGAACACGCCGAGCGATGTCCTCCACCGCCTCGGCCGTCAGGCTCGCGCCGCAACAGCTGACCTCGACCGTCGCTGGTGCGGGAGGCGCCACCAACTCCGCAGGCCCTTTCGCGGGCACCGACGCACCGCGGTACCATTCGCGGTCGGCGGCGCCCCGCAAGATGAAGGTCAGGGTCGCAAGAAGGACCCCGATCACCGACAGCATTCGGTGCCAGAAACCCCCGAGCCAGGATGACTTCGGAACAACGTCAATGATAATCGATGAAACCGGCACCGCAAACCCCGCTAAATCATTTTTGTGCACGCACCCCCAATAGTTGGCAACCCGGTAAATGGAAGCGGAAGAGAACGCGAGGCAGCTAGGGTTCTTGTTCCGTTTAAGCCAGTCGGATCTTGACCAGGCCAACACTATGCTTGCATACTTTCTTGATCAGACCCCAACGGCGCCAGCTGTCATGGACGCATTCATACGCGCAGAGAACCTCTCATATCGACAGCAGCAGCAGCCATGCTGATTGCGAAATCAGAAATGCCGGAGGGGCACAGCTACACCATTGATGGATCTCTCTCCTGTTTCTGCTCCACCAACTCCCTCCCAATTCACCAGCTCCGATCCGCCAGCCTCTGCGTCGGTTCACGCAGCGCTGCACGCCAAAGCTGATGGCATTGCCAAGGAGGTGGGCAACATTAAAGCTGCGTGCGATGGCAACTTTGAGGCCATGCACGAAGCCATGGAAGTTATCACAAAGCAGTTTACGTAAGTTTCTCATGCGGGGCAACCAGTGCCAGCCCCTAGCGCGGAGCCTGACACCCTGCGATGGGGGAATGGCCCAACCTGTTAGCAGGGAGTCAAGACCCATGCAGACGACCCTTTTCCAGCTAGGCTTGGCCGCCTGTGGTGAGCACGGCTACAGATGCACTGCAAATGGATCATCCTGTCATATCTTCGCTGGAGGTCGTGCCGCCAGCTTCTAGGTCGTCGCGGAAAGCGGGTTGAGGCGTGCGCGATGCCGAGGGTAAAGAACTTGCGGATGCAGCGGGCAAAGAACCGTCAGCAGGTAGACGGGGAAGGGCAGCAGCGCCAGACAGAAGAGGGGCCAGGGGCTCTGTTAGCTCTTCGCGAAGAGGCATCGGAGAAGGCCCCTTGCAGACGATCCACCAGTCCGAGGCGTCCCGATGAGAAGCCGTGCGGTCGCGGCTTCCGCGACGCATCGCATGACTCGGACATCGGCGATGAAACAGCGCCGTCGGCGTGGAGAGAGTCGGGCTCCGCATCGAGCCGCATCGCCGATGCATCGGCGACGCATCGGCGATGCATCGGCGAGGCGGCGCGCCCCTCCGACCCCATCCACTCGGAACCCACGCAGGAGGCCTGGACCCGAAGCAGAGCCTGCCTGCCCGCCCCATCCTCGCCACGCGGCGGAGCCCCCATCGTCGTGCGCCGCGGCCGCGCGGCTGGAGGGCCTCGGCCGCACGGCCCATCGCCGCGTGCACGGCCGGGCCGCCGCAGGCGCCGTGCGCGGGGATCCAGCGCCGCCGCCCTCAAGGGCCCGCGGCGAGCCAGCGCGAACACCGCCCCGCACCGCGAGCCTGATGCAGTGGCGGACGTGAGGACGAGGATGAGGATGAGGATGAGGATGACGATGAGGAGGCGGAGGAGGAGGATATGGAGGAGGAGGAGGAGGAGGAGGAGAAGGAGGAGGAAACGTGGAGGAGGATGCCTTGGAAGAGGATACCTTGGAGGAGGAGGAGGAGGAGGAGGAGGAGGAGGAGGAGGAGGAGGAGGATACGGAAGAGGAAGGAGGGGGGAAGAAGGAGGATATCTTAGCGGGGGGTACCTTGGAGGAGGAGGAGAGGAGGAGGAGGGAGAGGAGAGGAGGAGGAGGAGGAGGAGGAGAGGAGGAGGAGGAGGAGCAGGAGGAAGAGGAGAAGGATACTAGGGCCCCGCCCCGCGCGCACCACAGCGCCAATGGAGAGCGCCTCCGGGGGAGCCTCGCCGCGGGGGGCGCGTCGCCGGGAGTCAGGGAGGGATCAGGAGGGGGACGAGTCATTGGCGGATCACGGAGACGGGGGAGGGATCAGGAAGGATCAGGGAAGGATCAGGAACCATAGGGAGGAGAGAAGGAGCAGGAAAAGGAGGAGGAGGAGGAGGAGGAGGAGGAGGAGGAGGAGGAGGAGGAGGAGGAGGGGGGGCGAGGCGAGAGGAGGGGGAGGGGGGAAGCGAGGGGAAGTGGGAGTGCAGGGGAGGGGAGCTCGACCCGAAACCGCTGCGTGTGTCAACGCCGCAGCCCTGAACCCCGGCGGGAAGAGGACGAGCCCCGCAAGGAGTTCCTCTCGACGCCCTGCGCATCAATCGAGCCCTCAAAGGCAAGGCTGCACAACAACCCACAAAGCGTGGCCGACGCCGCCAAGTAGCGCCACAAGTTCGCTGCTATCCTCCACACCACCGCCGTCGCCATTTGCTACCTGGGACACCGGACGCTACTGCTTCCCAACAAGAAAGCGGGGCACTCCAGGTCGGAGCTCTCCAAGATGGCGCCAAATCCGCCCACCATCGGTCAGGAGGGGCATGGCCCAGGCGCACGAAGAGGACCACTTCCCAAGGAAGGACAACGGGGTCCCCACCATTTCGGCGAACTTGACGACCCTTGGCCCCCACCCACGGATGACTTGGAAGGTGGGGACCTCGACCCGCTCGGGCTCGGAGCCTCTCTCAACGACGACGACGACGACGACAGTGACGTCCCCTCACGCAATCGCCCCTTTGACCATGACAACACAGCCGTGGACAACCCCGTTGAGTCGGCTAAAGCCCAGCTCTCTAATGCCAAGGGAGGTCAGAACACAATGGCCACTCACCACGCCCAAGGCAACCAACCCTCCAGGGCTCCGACAGGGCACCCACCAGGGCTCCGACGGGGACGGCAGCGAGCCTCGGGACGACGGCCGCCAGGCCACCGGGACCGCCCAGCCCACGGACCGCACGCAAGTTACCACGCAGCACCTCACGGCGACGCGGGTTCGCAAATCCTGGCCGAGGGCACGTGCGCGGCCCACGGAGGGGTGGGGAGCCAAGGAACGCTCTGACATAAGCAGCGGGGCCACGAAGTCGAAGGAGACATCATGCCCCCGGCCATGGGACCCCCGCCCCAGCCATCGCCCCACTTCTCTGCTTGTCGGCGGCGAGCCTGGGGGGGGGAAGTGAGCGGGGGCGGGCCTTCTCGGAAGGCTTGGAAGGCCTCGAACAGAAAAGAGAACCGCTCGGAAGGCCGGAGGGCCTTGGAGAAGCCACGCACCCTTCTTAGGAAAACGAACTCCATACAACGACGCTTTTCACGACCCTGCGCTGACACGGGATCCTGGTGTATACATGTTTCGTTGTTTCCCCTAGAAAACACGGGGGAAAAGTATGCACCACACCACCCTTGGAAAACGGGGGGAAAGTATACACCACACCACCCCGACGTCGTCCCTGATCCTTAAAAAGTCGTGGGATTGGAAAACAACCCGCCACTGGTAGTGGATCTGTTCCAGCTTCCGAGCTTCTGAGAAGGCCCTCTCCCTAGCCTGTTCCCCCCCCCCCGGCGCGCCGCCTATCCCTTCCTTCTTCCCCCCCCCCCTCTCAGCAGGTACAAGGAGAGGCGACACCAGCACCAGCAGGGCGAGGAGGTGCGAGGCGCAAAGGGGGGGGGGGGTCTCCCTGGCGGTGTGGTCCCCCCCCCCGTCGCTCGAGGCATCCCCAGCCTCCCAGCTCGGGCTAGGCATCGTGGACATTCCTCGCTGGAGGTGGGCCCCCCCTGGTGGTGTTGGCGTCGCGTCTCCCCCCTCCGACCTGCTCTCAGGGCCAAGCTTCGTCTGCTCATCCCCCTTGGTTCGGGGAGACGTAAGACCTGGGTACAGGGGACTCGGAAATCCCCGACGAGGTCGTCAAAAAAATGACGAGGCCGAGCCTGCATTTTGACGAGGCCTCCCGCTGCAGACATCCCACGAAACTCCTCCTCGTCAAAATCCGAGGCGCGCTCGTCAAAAAACGATGGTGAACCCGAGTCCTGGCAAACCCGGGTCTTACGCTCCCCCGATGGGTCCTCGCTCTAGTCAGCCGAGCTGCCCGGCGCCTCCCCCGTCTGGTCCTTGCCCTCTTGGAGAAGCGCACCCTATCTCACCACCGCCACCGCAAGCACCCCCCCAGGGGCCCACGCCCGGACCCCCCCTCGGCGGCCTCGAGCGCGACCACCGCGTGGACGTGCCGGCGCCTCGGCGGGGCGCTGCAGGTCGCCGCCGCCCCCCTCCGCATGGGAGATCTACTGTTAAGTCGGGCGTGTCCCCCTACAGGGGGAGTTGGGGCGAAAAATAAAACATGCCCCAAAAATACCACCCAAAATGCTCAAAAAACATGTCATAAAATAATCCCCAGACTATGTTTGGACTATGCGTGAATACTCCCGCTGTAGAGGGACAGGCCCGACTTCAATCTACTGACCCGGGTCAATGCAGACCCGGGTCGGCAAGGCTCTGCAGGATCCTGCACCCAAAGCAAGGTCGGTGCGACCCTGACTCTGCAGGATCCCGCAAGGTCCCGTTCTCTGACTTCCCCCCGCTTGCACGGACCCCCGTCCCTGTTGAGCCCCGACCCAGCGCTCCCCCCTCGAGCTCCTGGCGCGCGCTAGCGGAGGGAGCGGTGAGGCGGGAGCAGCATAGCGGCAGCAGGAGGGGAGCCACTGCGGTGCTCGGTCCCTCTGCTGCCGCACCAGCGTGCCAATGGTGAGTCGCCGGTGCGCCGTTCCGTGTGCAGGTGTCGCACGTCGAAGCTTGTCCGCACAGGTGAGTCTAGAGTTGTGGATGCCATGACAATGGACGCTCTAAGAACCCTATCATTGAATTAAAGAGGTGTTCAACACGTGTAAAACATGTTGCCAAAATGTTTCAACCATGCTGCTTACAGATGTAAAACATGTTTGAAACATCGTTTAGAAATCTGGGAACTATTTGGCAGCATGCTTCCTCTCCGTTAATCGCCTTCCGCAAATCTAGAGCAGGAGGGGATGGGAGGAGGGCTGGATCGCTTTGGAAGGAGGAGGAGCAGGGAGCGGATCCAGGGGCCCCCAGCAGAGGCGGGTTCCCGGGCCCCGCGGGAGCCGCTTCAGGGTGACCGCTCGACGCGTCGCCCGCGCTCCCGCGGGTGCCCAAGGTTCCGCAGGGGGGGGGGGCAGTGTCAGGGTCGAGCAGCAGGGGATCGGACTGCAGGGGAAGCACATGCTGTTCCCCGTCGGCGACCGCGGTTAGCGGGCGCGGGAGCGGCCACAGCAGTTGGCGGGCGCGGGAGCGGCCACACAGCTTTCGGGGGCATCCGTGTTCTTCCAGAGGCCGAGTGACATCACCACGGCAAGAGCTAGAATGGGCTACACTCTCTAGCTGCAGGGGACAGAAACACACACACACACACACACACACACACACACACACACAAACACACACACGCACTCACTCACTCACTCGCTCACTCACACACACACAGACTCACTCACTCCCTCACTCACTCACTCACTCAATCACTCACACACTCACTCACTCACTCCATCTCGTCACCCCCATCCCCCTGTCCCCCCCCTACCCCCCGATCCTCATCCCGCCCTGTGCCCTCCAACCCCCACTCCCCCCTTGAGGCGCGGGCATCACGCTGTGCTCCGTGTGCCCGTCGACCGCGGTCACGGTGCACGGGGCGTCCTGTCGGCGCAGAGGCGCGACACCCTTGGCAGGTGCTGGGAGAGCGTCGCTCCTCCTCGTGGTCACCCCCCCCCCGCCCTCCCACGTCCCCCCTTCTCAGCCACCGCCTCCTCCTCCTCCTCCTCCGCCGCCGCCGCCGCCGCCGCCGACCTCATCCTCCTCGGAGTCCCCCTCATCATCGCCTTCCTCCATCAGTATCATCACAACCATCACATCATCATCAGCAGCAGTCCGATTCCTCGTCTTCCTCCTCAGCATCCTCGTCATCATCGTTATCCTACCATCATACTCACCGTCGTCGTGACCAGCACAATCATCTTCGCCACCACCATCATCGTCCACATCCGTCATCAAGTATCCCTCGCCTGGCTCCCCCTTCACCTCCTCATAATCCTCACCTGGGTCCACTTCCTCCACCCTCCTCCTCGTCCTCCTCGCGCCTCCTGGGACCTCCTGGTCAATCCTGGTGCCTCCTGGAGCCTCACAGCCTACAATGGGGCGAGAATGAGGTGCGAGCAGGAGGGAAGAAGTGTCGTGACGACCCTGGCGTTGACTTCTGACACCGCGTGGATCGTTCAACCCTCAACGACCTGTGGCCCTTCGATCGTCTCATCGATCGGCCTATTCTAGGCCACCGGCGGCGTTCAGCCTTGGACGCCCGTGGCACGGTCGCCGCCGCGTCGACACGGCACAAACCTACCGTAAGGCCGTTAGGGAACACTTCCCTCCAGGAGCGCGGGAGGCTTACTCCAGGTCGCCGAACACAAAGGCCAACCTACATGCTCCGCATCTGCGGCGAACTGATTGAGAACGAGATGCGCATCACCGACATCTCGGACATGCGCGCTCCGCCCTGGAAAGATGACCTCGCAAAGCGGCTGGACAAGCATGCCGTGGACTAGCATCTTCTGCAACAGTGCCATCTGCGTTTCTCCATTGATGGGCTGGACGGATTCGCCCAGGTCTAGCAAAGCGTCCATCTGAGGGGTGCAGGAGGTGGTAGGCAGAGCAGCAGAGCACGTGTGCAGCGAGGATGGAGGGGAAGGAGGAGGAGGAGGAGGCAGAGAAAGCCCAGGATGCCAGCAGCGATGCTGCAACGCACGCGTCCCCTCCTCCACTGCGGAAACCGCCCCCCCCCCTGCACGACGAGCGCCCGGTGGGCCCTGCAACGAAGGCGAGCGTCCGTTCTGGTATACCCCCCTGCGTTTCTTCGAGCTGGAAAGATGGAAGCTCAAGGAGGTGTCCAGGATGAGAAAGAAAGGAACGATGCTCACACCGTGAAGGATGAGAATGTTCAAGAAAGTGTCCAGCGATAGCCCCGTTTTGGAAAGGATCGGCAATCGTCCCGTGAAAATTGCAAATTCAAAATCTGGCCATAGCTCGGACGTCCACTCCCGGTGTGTGTGTGTGTGCGGTGTCGTGCGCTATCTTCTCGAAGGATGATCCGGGATGCTCCCCGATGGTCCCCGCCGAGAAAAAATGCACACGTCCGAGCGATGCCAAGAAATCGTTGTCATGAACTTTGCGAGACAGTCTCCAGCGAGAACCCCACTAACAAAGAAGCTGCCCTCCACCCGTGCAACTGCGGCAAAATCTGGGGCATCGGGCCACAGTACTTGAGAGAGGATCAATCAAAATCGCATGTCCTCCTCCTCCTCCTCCTCCTCCTCCTCTCCCTCCTCTTCCTCCTCCTCATCCTCCGCCTCCTCCTCCGCCTCCAACTCCTCCCTCCACCGCCCGCCCCCTATCCCGAGCTTGTGGCAGGGTCATCAGCTCGCCGTTGTCGTTGTCGTCGTGGTCGTCGTCGTGGTCGTCGTTGTCGTCCTTCTGGGTCGGCGGCACTGGCCGTAAGGCCTTCACAATATCAATCAAAATCGCATGTTGAAAACGAATCACCCCCCACCGTGTATCTCTCTTGATTGAATCTGTCAACAAGAACGAATGGGCACGGCGCTGAGGCGAGAGCCGCGTTTAGAAAACGAACCTGGGGCGACATGTGGAGTTGCTTGTAAGGAAGAGGGGCGGAGGGAAACAGCAGGGAGGGAGGGAGGAGAAGAGATGGAAGAAGAGGAGGAGGAGGCGAACACAAGTAAGGAAGAGCATGGAGGGAAGGGGGATCCTCCTCATCCTCCCCCTTTTCCTCCACCTCTCGACCTAATTCTCCGTCCCCCCATCCCCACGGCGTCCTCTCGCCCCCCCGATCATGTTCTCTCCGTCGCCGAAAACGTCGATCACGACGACGACGACGACGATGATGACCACGACGACGGCAGCGGCGACTGCGGTGACGACCCGCGGCAGCGGGCCAAGCCGCGCCTCGCTGCCCACCGCCACCACGCGGCCCGCCTGCCAGACGCCGTCCAGGTGGAAGATGGCCGGGTCGCCCGCGAGCAGGTCGTCCCCGCCAGCGAGCAACACCTCCAAGGGCGGCAGCGACACAAGTGAGGGGCCCGAGCTGGGCGCGGACGTGCCGAATGCTGTGCCCTCGAGAGACCCTCGAGGATCGAGGAGGCAGACCCTTTCCCCACCCGACAGGCCAGGCGCGTATATTCCAAAGAAAGAAGCGCCCTGCCGACATGGCCGCGCCCATTGGGAGCGAGGTGAGCTCCCTGAGCTCCCTCTGGGGCCACGATCTGCGCGAAGGGTGTGCCGAGATGGGCTCGGGCCCACATGGCGCCCGCGCCCGTCTCGAACCGCAGGCGGAGCTCCCCCAGCCAGGTGCGATGGGTGCGGGCGGTGTGCCGACGAGGGGGCGGCGGCACTGCGGGGGCGGCGCCCCACGGAGGCCGCGATATCGGGCGGCAAACGGGGGCCCCACGGCGGGGGGCACCGAAAGCGCGAAGGCTGTGCCGGCGTGGGCGCAGCGCCGCCAGGCGGGCGGTGCCCTCTGAGACCGCAGCTGGAGCCGCCCATGGGGCCACGGCACGCCCCCCGAGGGAGGAGGAGAGGGAGGAGGAGGAGGAGGAGGAGGAGGAGGAGGAGGAGGAGGCGGAGGAGGACGAGGAGGAGGACGAGGAGGAGGAGGAGGAGGAGGAGGAGGAACACCAAACAAGGAACGGAGGGGCCTTTCTGGCCACGGCGGGCCTCGGCCGCGAGAACGTGTTATACCCGAACTGGATCCGGGGAGCGGCCCGAACACCAGGACCCCTCCTGGATCCAAAACGATACATATTGCAGCGCCTGGACTGCACCACCTGCCGGATTAAAAAGGCCGGATCGGCCCAAGGCCGTTTGCATCGTCGCTCTCCGATCGGACCTGGATCGTGGACCCTCGATGGGTCTGGGCTCCCGATTTTGGACATGGCCTCCGAGATGACTCCGAAAGCGGGCAGCGCGCCGAACACTGGCACGGCACAGCAGACCATGGAGCACTGACAGAGACAGTTCTGTTTAGAATCGCGGGCGCCAAAGGAAGCAGACACGCTTTGCATCAGATCTTCCAAGCCACGACTCGACTTCCAGCCAACATCAATCGGACTGGATTTATTTGCGTGAGGAAGTCTTGAGCAAAATCGCAACCGAAAATCCGCGATGGCGGTCTCTGGAACATTGTACCAAGGCCCCGCGGCCTAACGGGGCCCGTCCACGCTGAGTGTCCGCGACCTCTGCGGTCCGGACTTTTTAATCGGGGGGTTGTAGGCTCGGCGCCGCCATGCGGTCATCCCTACCTAGACAATGCGCGGAACTCCTTGCGGGGCCACGATCCTCATTACGGGTGTGCAGAATTGGGCGCTGCGCGGCAGCGGCGGAAAGGGAGGCGGGAGGAGGAGGAAACGGGAGGAGGAAGAGGAGGAATAGGAAGGAGGAAGGTGGAGCGTACCATGAGCAGGGTCCCAATGATCGGAAAACACACGATTCGATGAATCCGCCACACGCCACGCAAGTACCAGCGAAAGCGAGGCACCATAGATAGATGGAGGTCAAGCCCGGCGAAGAGCAACGACGAAGGGCGCGCCTCAGTTCACGTCGGGTTCGGAAGGGAGGAAGAGGAAGGAGGAAGGAGGAGAGGAGGACGAGGCGGGGGGGTGGGGGGGGTGTGGGGGGGGGGGGGGGGGGGGGTGGGGGGGGGCGAACCCGAGGGGCCCAAGAGCACAGAAGCTGTCGCCGGCTACCCACTCCTCGCGCTCCTCCCTCCTCCTTGCGCAGCATCCTGAGGCGGACCAGGAGTTACCTACCGCACCTCTTGAAAGAAGAGACCTGGTAGGACGAGGTCCTCTGACCCCAGGCCCCCCGCCCGTATTTTCGGCGGCCTCCTCCTCCTCCTCCTCCTCCTCCTCCTCCTCATCATCATCATCATCAGCAGCAGCAGCATCATCAGCATCATCAGCATCATCAGCATTCATCAGCATCAGCATCGTCATCGTCATCGTCATCGTCATCGTCATCATCATCATCATCATCATCATCATCATCATCATCATCATCATCATCATCAATCATCATCATCATCATCCTCATCCTCATCCTCATCCTCATCCTCATCCTCATCCTCATCCTCATCCTCATCCTCATCCTCCTCCTCCACCTCCTGCTCCTGCTCCTGCTCCTGCTCCTGCTCCTTCTCCCTGCCCTCCTCCTGCTCATCCTCCTCCTCCTCCACCTCTCCCTCCTCCTCCGCCTCTTCCTCCTCCTTCTCCTCCTCCTCCTGCCCATCATCCTCCTCCCCCCTCCACCCTGCCCCCTCTCACCCCCTCCTACCCCCATCCCTTCTCCCCCTTCCCTCCTCCCTCGCCTGCCCCTCCCCGCATCGGCCCACCCCCCCGCTCGCGGGCCTCCGCACACCGCTCTTGCGCCGCCGCGGCCGCCGAGGACGCCTGGCCGCCCGCGGAGGCGGCCGCGCCCTCGCCAGCTCCTCGGGGGGCACTGCGGCGGGGTGCCCACGTTGTCCCGTCGGCGGTTCCAAGGGCGGGGCTCTGAGGGCGAAGACCCCAGACAGCACAGGACTCGGGGGTAGGCAGAAACCACTTACTCTCAACGCCCTTTAGGGAAAGATGCCAGGGGTGCTCCGCGTGCGTACCGCACCACATTCCGAGTGCAAAGACAACGCCCAACAACAACCGAATGCATCTGGCGCCCAAAAGACAACCGAATGTATCCGGCGAGACGCGCGTCAACTAGCGAAACCGAATGCAGACTGCACCGGCACACTCGAATGCCAATATCAAGTGAGCCGGCAAAGACTTCCTCCGACGACTTGTCGGGGGGCGTGCTCTCTCAATGCCCGAAGCACACGACGGGTGCCGATGCCGCCCTGCGTGCGCGCAGGTACGGCAGCGCCTCCTTACAAGGTCGGTGACGGGGCCAGGGCCCCATCAACAGTGAAGGTTGAACTTGTCATACCCACTCCCTATCCTTAGCGTTAGGTCGGGCGTGTCCCCCTACAGGGAGATTTTCGACGAACAAATACTTAAACAAAAATCCGAAATTGTCACAAATTATTCAAAATAGTCCCCAGACTATTTTTTTACTACTCTTGAATATTCCCCCTGTAAAGGGACAGGCCCGACGTAACCTTGGCGCCCCACCCCTCAGGGCCCCATCTTTGCACCGCCGATCCCCCCTCCGCCTGTCGAACGACGCCAGCCGTGTGCCAGGCAAACTCGGTGCACGCTCTCGCGCGTGCTGGCGCGGCGTGCGCCGGGCTGGGCCGGCACACGGCCGTCCCCCTCCCGCCTCCTCGGAGAGGAAGTGTTCCTTTTGCATCGGGCAACCGTCCTCCTTTGCCTCCTCCTCCTCCTCCTCCTCCTCCTCCTCCTCCTCCTCCTCCTCCTCCTCCTCCTCCTCCTCCTCCTCCTCCTCCTCCTCCTCCTCCTCCTCCTCCTCCTCCTCCTCCTCCTCCTCCTCCTCCTCCTCCTCCTCCTCCTCCTCCTCCTCCTCCTCCTCCCCTCCTCCTCCTCCTCCTCCTCCTCCTCCCCCTCCCCCTCCCCCTCCCCCTCCTCCTCCTCCTCCTCCTCCTCCTCCTCCTCCTCCTCCTCCTCCTCCTCTCCTCCTCCTCCTCCTCCTCCTCCTCCTCCGCTCCTCCTCCTCCTCCTCCTCCTCCTCCTCCTCCTCCTCCGCCTCCTCCTCCTCCTCCTCCTCCTCCCTCCTCCTCCTCCTCCTCCTCCTCCTCCTCCTCCCTCCGCCTCCTCCTCCTCCTCCTCCTCCTCCTCCTCCTCCTCCTCCTCCTCCTCCTCCTCCTCCTCCTCCTCCTCCTCCTCCTCCTCCTCGTCCTCCTCCTCCTCCTCCTCCTCCTCCTCCTCCTCCTCCGCCTCCTCCTCCTTCTCCTCCTCCTCCACCTCCTCCTCCTCTCCCTCCTCTCCTCCTCCTCCGCTCCTGCTCCTCCTCCTCCTCCTCCTCCTCCTCCTCCTCCTCCTCCTCCTCCTCCTCCTCCTCCTCCTCCTTCCTCCTCCTCTCCTCCTCCTCCTCCTCCTCCTCCTCCCCTCCTCCTCCTCCTCCTCCCTTCTCCTCCTCCTCCTCCACCTCCTCCTCCTCTCCCTTCTCCTTCTCCTCCTCCTCCTCCTCCTCCTCCTCCTCCCTGCTCCTCCTCCTCCTCCTCCTCCTCCTCCTCCTCCTCCTCCTCCTCCTCCTCCTGCCTTGACAGTGAGGTCGGACCTGCTGCCTTGACAGTGAGGTCGGACCTGCCTGGGTGCGGCAGCATCGGTGTAGCCTCTGGTCTCGCCAGGGGGTGCCACGGCCGCCTCCCTCCTCCTCTTGGACGGCGCCGACCGTGCGCCAAGCCAGCCCGACGCACGCGTGCGCGCGTGCCCGCACACTTTTTGCCGCGGACCCCGCGGACGCGCGGGTCGGTCCAGCGGCCCAGGGGCACTGGACACCGACTTGTGCCCTGTAAGAGGCAGGGGGGAAGAAAGAGACAGGAAGGCCGCGGAGGGGAAGAGCGGGCGAGGGGGCAGCTTCAGAGCGCGCTGGTACACGCAGCGTCTGGTGCACGGTTGGCGTCGTGTCGTTCAAGCTTCCTCGGAGGGGAGGCTGTCTATATGCACTACAGGGCCGAGGATGAACAAACGAGACTGCGTCGACAGTGGGGATGAGCCTCGCTGGGCGCAGGCCCCTGCATCTTCGACTTGAAGCAGAGGCCTGATTCCAGAGCTGAGCCTCGGAGGGGAGAGGCCAGAAGAAGGGCGAGGAGAGGGGTCGACGCCTCTTGAGGTGTTCCTGGTTCTTCGGGGGCGCCTGGGGGCCGCCAAGAAGCCTCTGGGGACCTCTGGGGCCCTCGGAGGCCGCGCCGCTCTACTCTGATTCGCCCCCCATCCCAAACTTCCCTCCCCCACCTTTCCCCCGCCCCTCCACCTCGCTCAGCTGCTGCAGCTGCCCATCCACAAGTTGGTGCCTCCTCCTCCTCCTCCTCCTGCTCCTCCTCTTCCTCCTCCTGCCCCTACCCCTACGCCCCGACCCTCGCCTCTGCTTCCTGCCACTGCATCCGCGTGCCCGTCCCACCCTCCTCTGGCCTCCCTCCTCCTCCTCTTCCTCCTCCTCCTCCTCCTCCTCCTCCTCCTCCTCCTCCTCCTCCTCCTCATCTTCCTCTTCCTCGGGTACACGGGCACACGCTCAAGTCCACAAGACCATTTAATAAACAGATAAGGGCAACAAATTGAGACAGGAAGGCCGAGGCGGCGCCCAAGGAGAAGAAGGAAGGCCGAGAGGAGAGAAGACGAGATGGAAGGACGAGTAGGCGCCGCCGCAGCCTTGTCCCGCAAACCCAGAAGACGATGATAATGAGGCCCTCCCCCATCTCCCTGCCAATGAGCTCTGGGCACAGCTGCGACGGGAAGAACCGAAAGCAACAATACAGCGGCACAGCGGGGATAAAGATGACAGCATGATGGAGTCACAAAAGGAGCAGATCCACCGACCCTGTCGGCGTGTGTGAGGGGCTTCCCCGTTCGAGTCGGGCTTCTCCATTCGAGTCGTCGTCTCCGTCGTCATCCGTTCCATTTCTCTGGGCCCTCCTCAAGCGCGCCATCCAAAGCGAAATTGAGCAACGTCGGAGTGGAGTCGAAGGAAAGCCCCTTCCCACTGATCCGTTCGCAACGGGGAGGGGGGGGGTCCCGAGGGGGTCCCAAGGGGGGTTCCCACCCAGATACGCTTCCCCCCCGCGCGGTCCCGGAAGCCCGAAGAAGTCCCCAAGAGTTCTCCACGAGACCCCCAAGAGGCCGCCAGCGCCCCAATCTCCAACAGGGTGTCCTGACGGGGGAACCGAACGGACGTTTCGAGCCCTCAGCCGGGAGAGGATCCCAGGAGGCCCCAAGAGGCCCCCAGGAAGCCCCAAGAGGCTCCCAAGAGGCTGCCAAGACGCCCCCAAGATGCTCCCAGGAGGCCCCAAAACTGCCTCCCAGAGGCCTCCGAGAGCGCTCCGAAAGACCCCGAACAGTATCCCTGAGGACTCTGACCCACGTCAGCGTCGTCATCGTCGCCGCCGCCGTCGTCGTCGCCGTTGTCGTGGTTGTCCCCCTTCAGGGTCGGCGGCACCGGCCGTAAGGCTTAAGCAATCTCCCAACCCTTGCGAATCGCAACAGAAACTGCACCGATGTGTGCCAGAACACAACATACGAACAAGTTGCTGCTTACCCAGAAAGGCACATGCAGCCCACACTCGTCAGAAGTACAACGACCTAAAGGAAGGATAGCAGTTGCAAACGATTCAAATAACATGCCAACTGCTGAGCTGCGAGAGATTATCCCACGCCGCTTTCTGCCAAAACGGCGGAGTTGTCAGCAGGCCAAGCATATCCGCGTTTGTGTTCCAAGAGAGGGCGGCATCCAGGTGTGCGCGGCGCCGCACGAAGGAACGAGCAGCTCTGCCTGGGCGGCCCTGGCTCCACAACTCCTTCCGCTCCCCAATCTTGGACAGATACTCTGCACCGCCCTGCTCATGTGCCCTCGAAGGCTCCCCTGACCTGAAGCACTTGCCAGGCGCCACCTGGCCTTCTGGGTAGACGGGAGGCCTCCTTCCTGAGCCCCGCCCCTTGGCTGAGGCGAAGAGGGAGGAGAGCTGGGCTGGGCATCACGTCCCAGGTCCCCGAAAGGCGCCCTGTGGCAGGGTGGGCCTCTGGACCCACCTCCGCAGCAGCAAAGTTGAATGTCTTACCCGTCGGCAGCCGGGCTCACTCCTTGCAGGCTCCAACGCTCCTTCTTCCGAGGCGGTCGAGACCGACTTTCCCGGGGCCGAAGCGTGCAAGGCGACGCTCCTGCGCAGCACAGCAGAATGCTCGGGCAGGCCGCCTCGTAACAGCTCGGCCAGTGCGGGCACCACGGCCAAAATCCTGTCGGTAGGGGCTGGGTCTCCGAAAAGAGCAGCTACCGAGCTGAACAGCGTATCATACTTCTGCTGGCAGCGGTCGAGCTCGTCCGAAAACCGTCGGATAGCTCGATCAATAGAGAGGCGGGCCCAGTCTCGCCAGGCCTTCCGCAGAGAGGCAGAACTCTGACGCGCATCGCTCGCGCCATCCTGCACCATTGCCCGTAAGCCAACAGTCCCGCTCCCACAAGTCCCTCACACCCGCCCGGAGCCCCGTGAATTTGGGGTCGAGGGTACGCCGAAGAACAAGGTCCATGAGCAGGGGGGCTATGGAAAGGTCTTGAGCCAAAATGGCTATGGATCTCCTCCTCCTCCTCATCCTCCTCCTCCTCCTCCTCCTCCTCCTCCTCAGTATTCTCCTCCTTTACACTTACACCACATGTATACTACGATCCTCTCTCCCCCGAAAGTGTGTTGAGGGTGTCCGCCAGCCCCCCCCCCCTCCGCGTACTGATTTGTACACACATGATTTGCTCATCCGAGCTGCCTTGCGTGTTGTCTCACTTCGATCCCTCCGCGTCCTCTGTTTTACAGACTGAATTTGCGCGAGCTGGATG